AAAAAAAAAAATTGAGAAGAAGAAGAATGGAGGGGTGGATATAAGAAGAGAGAGGCGCATGCTCGTAAACCGGAAAAAAGAAAAAAAATAAAAATAGATCCGTAAGATGTATCTTCTTTCTCTCAGAGTGTGTGTATGTGTGTGTGCATTGTGACCTCAGCGCTTAAAATGAGAAGGAGGAGGTGTTGGTGGCATCGCTATTTTATTTATTTATTTATTTTTTCATTTTATTTTTATTGTTTTTTTATTTTTTTTTAGAAGAAAACAAAAGGAGATAACGTGGCGGTGTGGTTGGCTGTTATTCGCCTTATTTATTTATTTATTTATTTTTTCATGGTTCCATCCGTAAGGCTGAATGCCCGTGTGCCCGTCATCGTCTGCCTTAACCCTTCTTTCTCTCTCTCCCAATATCTACACATGCATGTCTACATATATGTGTTCGACCCTCCCCCAAACTTTAACCCACTTTGAAAACAGGAGGGTGTGGAGGCAACGACAAAAACACCAACGAGAAAAGAAGAAGAAAAAAAAAAAAGAGGAGAAATGCCAGCAAGGAAGACGAATCGGCAAGGCACAGGAGGACAACGTTATCACAGAAACCGACTTGGGTGCATGTTGGTGCCTCACGGCCGTGTGTCTGGGTTACTCTTCACGGTGAACCCACGGCAGGAGTCCAAGGCCCTCCGCGAGCTGCAGTTATATCTCCACCCCCTCATTGCAGATCTGGAGGAGGCCCATAAAAGAGTGGAGGAGCATGTCGATGACAGAGGCAGATGTGATAACGCGACGACGGAGAAGCAGAGCTCTTCGAAAATGAGCACCGATGCAGAAGGTAAGATAACGCCCTCAACCTCCAGCCTTCTCGCGGCGGAACTGGCCGAATACATCACAACCCGCGGAGGGCAACGCCGTCACGAAATGAGACGAATTCCGATGAAAGAAGAAAAGAGCGATGTGTCAGACGACGAAGACGAAAAAAAGAGTACGGATAATAATAATAATAATAACAATAGTGATATTCTTCTTAATCGCAGCAGCGATGATGGCAGTCACGACACGGATGCGGGGCGGCAATCTTCTGCACGGAAGCGCCAACGGCACGAAACGGAAGGATCCAAACGAAGTGTTATTAACAGCCTTCGGTGGCTGGCGCCGCTCGAAACGGGTTGCAAAGGACACCTGATGGTCAGCATTCCGTTTGCCTCGCAGGAACAGGGAGAAAACGAAGAAAGAGAAACGGGAGCAACTACCGCGGAGACGCAGATTGTGAAGAGTGAGGCGGTAGAGGCGTCAACTCCACGCACCGCTTCCGTAAGTGGCGCAGTCTCGCGTGGCCAAGGTGAGCCTCCCCATTCAATTCTTTACAATCCGCTGGTGCACATTGTCGTTGAACGCATATTCAAAGACATTGAAGAAAATCCACGGCCGTTGCTGCGAAACTGCTTTCGCCTCATGCCCTGTGAATTGACCTGCTGCCCCACCTTGCCGGAGATGCGGGAAGCGCTCGGGCAACTTGTGGGTGCACACTTCCCTCCCACAAAAGGCCCTCAGCGGCTCCATCGCGTCAGTCTCGCCTTCAGTGTCAAGAACAACACGGGGGTAGAAAACAAAAAGTCGTATTTCCACGCGGCTCTCGAAACGGTGTTTCCAGTGAACCGATTTGTCCTGATCCCGGCGGCCCGAATAAAAGGCCCCGACGGCGAGACCGAGGCGGTCTTTTGCGCATTCGTGGCGCACGCAACTTGCGCCATGGGAGTGCAGCGGCTCTTCTCGCACCGCGGCGGGTACAACCTGCACGCCCTTAGCGCCAAGCAGCTCGAACTTTCATCCTCCGTTTAACCAACAAAAAAAAAAAAAAGTAAAGGAAAAGAAAAATAGGCGGACGAAGTGCAGAGCAAAAACGTGCGGCGTTTTTTCTTGAAGGAAGAAAAGGGGAAATCAGTTCGGAGAGAAGTTATTTTTTCTTTGGGAAAGAAAGTGTTCACCCCACGCCTCTTCCCATTGACCACGACAACCGCAGCCACACGCGGACCCAAAAGCTGCACATTTTTCCCCGCCGATTTATAGGCTTGTTGCCTTTCATGTGCTTAACAGGAATGTAACAGGCATAGAGAAAAAGCCTGCGCGACCCGGGTCCTCCGGAACAAAGCCAGGAGCCAGCAATGTTTCCCTCACGGGGTCGTCGTTGTTGGCGCGGGGCTGACGGCATCAAAACCAGCGCCCGGACCAGCTGCGTCTTGCTGGGGCACGTGCTGCCAAATCAATAAGCCATTACAACAATTCCTTGAGAGACAGACTGTGGGTCCACAAACAAAAAAAAAAAAAGCGAAGGAAAAGGAGGAAAGAAAAGACGGGAATGCCGCACACGCGGGCGCACGGACAGGCAGCGATCCGGAACCAAAAGAGGCGGCATGTCAAGCAGGAAAATGGTAAGAGGACAAAAATGGGTCTCTCACATCATAAGAAATAAAATAAAACCAAAAAAAAAAAGAAGATGTTAAACTAAAAGAGATTCGACGTTTTTTTTTCTTTTCTTACCATGATTGCTCAACGGACCAGTAAAGCCCATTCCCCACACAAAAACAAAACAAAACAAAAAAAAAGAACACAAAAGCCGCAGTGTTAAACAGTACTCCCGTCCACACATACGCATACCCCCGCCCTACCGCAGATAAAATTAACCAGGTAAATGATTTCATTAAATAAATGGATGATGGAAAACACTAATTACGCCTTGGATGCGTCGTGTTGCCTGACGCCGGTCGTGGAATGAACCCTCTGCGGCTAAACGGCCGCGTGACGCTGGCAGAACGCCTTGATGCGCTCAACAGCCTCACGGTATACCTCAACGGGCCGCGTCGTCGTTAACCGCGTGAAGCCTGGTGCATGGAAGATGGTTCCAGGCAGCACCTGCACGTTTTCCTCCTCGAGCAGCTTCTCGAAGAACTCCACGTCGGTCTTGATGTCTCTGTACTTCTCCAAATCAATCCTCGACATCAAGTACATTGCTCCCCGCGGCATCGTCGGAGCCAGGCCGATACACTCACCAATGTGATTGTACAGGTACATGGCGCTTTCCTCGATTTTGGCAACGATCTGATCAAGGTGCTCCTGCGGAGTGTTGAGGAGGGCCTCGCCAAGGGCTGCCTGGACAACCGTGCATGGCCCACAGACCAACATCCCCACGCGCTTCAGACCCTCCAGGAAGCTGGGGCCGTTGCCGTGTGGATCCACGTAGAGCAGCCATCCTAGCCGCCACCCGGGAACAACGAGGTTCTTCGCAGTGCCACCCAAAATCACGCGCGGCACCGTGGTCTCAAAGTCAGCCACAGACGTGAAGGTCGCGTTGGGATCCTTGCCATTGAAGACCATGCCAGCGTAGATCTCGTCCGAAAAGAGGGGCAGACGCAGTTCCTCGGCAAGCCGCACAATGTCCTCGACGTTTTTGCGGCTGAAGTTGCTGCCGCACGGGTTGGACGGGTTCGTTACAATGAGCAGCTTCGTCTTATCGTCCTTGAGCCTCCGGATCTCGTCAAGGTCGGCCTCCCAGTCGTTCTCCGGCCGACAATTGTAAAAGTGCATGCCGATGCCGTACGCCTTGCACACCGTCTCGTAGTGGGGGAAGCCCGGCTGGGGCACCAGGGCGTAGTCACCCGCGTCACAGATCGCCGTGATGGCCATCAGAATGCCATGCGACCCGCCAGAGCAGAGCACCACGTTATCCTTCACGATCGTGCTCTTCAGTTCTTCCTTGTGGACAAACGAGTTGCGCCACCATGTCGCGACAGCTTCGCGGGCTTCTGGGGAGCCCACCGTCGGGAAGTAGCCGTTGCACTCCTGTGAGTCGATCGCCTCCTTCAGCTTCTTGATTTGGGCTGCCGACGTGAGAAGGTTCTTGTCCAGCGTCGGGTCACCGACGGAGAGCTTAATAATCGGCTTCGGGGACGGCGACGGTTTCGCGTTGTCCGAAACGGTGCGAATGGGGTTGAACACGAGACCCGCATGGTTCGACATGGAAACGTCCCACGAGCTCATTTTGCGTTTTATCGATGTTTTTATTGTTTTATTTACTTTCCACAATTACGGGTTGCACTGATGCTTCTCTAAACCTAACCTTTGCACAACACCCAAATGCCACGGAGGAATACCGCACGGAAGCATGGGAAGTGGGTGCAAACAAAAAAAGCATAACAACACATCAACAAACAGATATCGCAATGTGAAACAAAAAGGCACAGAAACGTCAAGTACGGAGCGGAACAGGCACTAGTTGTGTGTGTGTGTGTGTGTGTCGGTGTGTGCACAGCGGCGGCAGACATCCTCGCTGTCCTCTTCTCTCCCACCTCACTTCTCCCCCCCCGGTGTGGACAAGCGGCTCGCGGTGACGCACTGAGGGTCCGCTCGCTATTAAAGGGGATGGCGGGCACGGTCTCGTGGAGGTTGTTGGGCTGGGCGGCATCAGCGTCACCATCTGACGATTCCCCCGTTGGCTCGTCAGGGGCGCGCTCAGATTTCCCGAGTTACATACATAAGAAGCTCCTCGCCACGTGCTGCCGCAGTGAGAGATCATTATCGGGGAGCGCGTGGGTGATCGCACACGCAGCTGACCCCTGGCGGTGCGGAATGACCGCCCATTCCACATGCGCACAACACCCGCTCAACCACAATCACGTGACTCAGTTTACGGCCACAAATGAGCAACAAAGGACACACCAAAGAGACCCAAGCCAAATAAAATAACAAAAATAGAGGCCTCTAACAGCTTCAAGCGCACACGCAGTACACGTCCATTGCCCTCTTCATCCACCCCGTCGTGGCAGGTCAGCAACCAAAGTATGATCCTTGTTTTTGAACCTTCGTTTTGCATTTAAATGACTCTCATTGCTCGCATATACATTTTTTTCCCTTCTTATTTGCATTCATTTCCTGGCACCCCCGCCAAACCCGTTGTTATTTCCTTTCGGAATTTTCCCTCCGGCCGCCTCAGCGCGGTGCCAGGGTCAATTGCTCCGTATTGTCGGGGGAAGCCAGGAGCCAGCAATGTTTCCCTCACGGGGTCGTCGTTGTTGGCGCGGGGCTGACGGCATCAAAACCAGCGCCCGGACCAGCTGCGTCTTGCTGGGAACAACCTCGTCCTCCGTTTGGCAAAGAATGCCTCGCGGCTCCCCCTCAGAGGCTGCCTTGATGGCGGCGCGGCTATGCTCGTATGTCGCTGGCTTCTCCAGGCGCGCGGTGAGGTCGACAACCGACACGCCGGGAGTCGGCACACGGAACGCCATGCCGGTCAGCCTGCCGTCCTGCGCGGGAATAACCTTCCCAACCGCCTTGGCCGCTCCGGTGGCGGACGGGACGATTTTCCACGCCGCACCGCGACCGCCGCGTGGGGTCATACTCCGGCGGGAACGCCACGCCATCCGCGCCCAGCGGGTCGTTAATGCCGAAGACCGCCCCGTGACGCCAGAAAAGCGCCCCGCGACGGCCTCGCGGGGGCAAGGCGGGGGGCCCGGGACGGTCGCCCTGCGTTGACGGCGGCGCCGGCCGCCAGCAAGGTTCCCTCTCGGGGGGACGTTGCCTGCAAATCCTTTTCCGGGATGGTGTCGCCAAGGGCCGGTTAGCGGGGATGTCTCTGATGTCCCCGGGGAGCGCGGCCGGCGCCGGGTGGGCGCGGCTCCTCGCACCAGCCCCTTTCGTGTCGCTACCGACTTCTCTTCGGTTGTCTCCGGAAGTGTGCATTTCTGTTTTTTTACGTTTTGTTTTCCTATTTTCCGTTTTTGTGGCGGAGCTTGTTCTAGATAAGGGAATGCTTTCTTCGCAGGAGGCGTGTCTTTACGAGGGTGCAAAAAATGCCCTAGCAAAAGTTACAAGAGTCTCTCTTCCGGGCGGCCGTGGGAAACCTTTTGGCGAAAAGCCCGAGGAAGCATTAGAAGGCCTCATGGATATGCTGGGTTTAGACGCACAGCCGGGGGCTATCGTATGCAAATCCGAAAGCGAGCTTATAGAGGTATCATCATCAACTCCTCTATTGATGTTTCTTTGCGAATTTGCAATGAACCTAAGAAACGAAGAACCCTCACCAATGGAACTTCAAGTCCTTCGCACTCGTTGTACCTTTGTGGCATCACTGCCCGATCGAGTAGCGAATGCGTTTCTGGGTACATTTGGGTCCACAAAAACTCTTGAAACAGACTTGGATCTCCTGGCAACTCGCATATGCCAGTCACTGTGTCGGTTTTTGTTTGTCATCCATGAAGCACCGCCAAGCAAAATGGTGCACGCAACCTCTACCATGAGACGATACAGGTTCAAAAGGGAGAATGCTCTTCTTGTATGTGAAGTCCTGATACAGAACTTGGTTCGGCGTGGGTTTATTCGAACCCTTTTCCAGTGTTTTATCAGCTCTCTAAAAGCGGCATTGCCCTTTTTGGCCTTCTTGGAAGAAATAGTACAACGTGTATTTGGGGCTGTTTACAAGTGTTGCTTAAAAAATGGCGAAGTTCCTCGTGCGAGTATGAGGAATATTGTGACCGCGAACCTCCACACAAACATACATTGGTCAGAATGGAATACATGGTTCCTGCGTGTGGCAGAAAGAGACACTGGATTGAGGCCTCTCCTTATATCATCTTTGATCAAGATGATCAACATTCCTGACAAGAATGAAGAAGCGGCTACGGAAGCACTGGCTATGTCTCGGGCATTAATGAAGGAGTTGTTCGTAACAGAAACTTCATATCTACCCACTGAACGGAGCCTCCTGCGCGTCATTTTTAGAGAGGTTCTTCCAGGGATTGTATCCCACAGTTCAGAAAGGGGAGAAATACCAATTTCAGAGATGGAGATGGGGTTATTCGCCGAGGCCTTCCAAAGATGGAGTACTCGTGATCTCATTGAAAAGGGCTCTGTTGAACTGAATACCACATTGGCGAATTCCATTTTGTACATCTTAATTCACATTAAGGAGTATCATGTTAAAGATACAAAAGGACATCTTCCAGGTGCATTACTCCAACCTCTTTTGGCTGGAATTTCTTTACGCTTCGAGTTGGTTCGAGCAGAGAGCCTGAAGACTGAAGCAATAACTGTGGCTTCAGTATTTGCGACCTTCTTTGTTGGGAATGATGAGGCAAGGAATGCTTTTTCAAGCTTGGAGCAGTTTCCATCTCTTCTGAATGACTGGTTGAAAGGCGAGGCGGACTCGACGTCAATCTCTGAAATGTCGCCGATCACTCCTATAGGAACTCATCGGGGCGGAAACAACAAGGTGGATCCTTTTTTCCGTCGTCGGAGCATAGATGATGAAGAGTATCCTCTTGACCCGGATGCCGCCTTCATGTTCTTTTGTCGGAGGGATGCTGGAACAATGAAAAAGACTGGGACGTTGACAACTGGTGGAACTGTTGTGTTTAACTTGGACACAATTGTGAACCATGGGCATTTGCCATCCTTTGGGAAAACACGGAATGAACAAGATGAACTGGAGGAAAGTGTGACAGTCCTAGTGACGCTGCGTGAATCCTATAACGCAATCATTGGGGTTGGACGGAGTAGTAATGCCCAAGTTCACGAGGTTCAACAAGCAGTAGAGAGTGGACTTCGGGGTTTCTTTCACGCCCTGAACAGGCTGAGAGAGAAACTTGGTATTTGGAAGGAACAGAAGGTCCATGGAGAGGTTCGAAGACTGCGAGAAAAGGTTGGGATGGAACTTAACCCCATGATCCCCTCCCTCCTTCCAGCACTGATGTCACTTACTATTCATGCACCAGAATCTCGACATAAGGAATTGATGGACCTGCGGTACTCTGTTATTGTATCGCTAGTGATTATTGCCCCGGAGAATGCACTGAGTCAGCTTGGTAAGATGCTGTACTCAAGTCACTATGGTATTTTTCAGCGTGTTGAAATGGCAAAAGCCGTTGCTGAGGCAGCCAAATACCTATCACAGGTAGAAGTGCGCGTGGAACCAGAAGAGGGAGGAGGAGCAGCAGCCTCCCAGAAACACGATATTTGGAAGGAAAGACTTACAAAAAGGCGAATTTATCCTCCTATACGCGAGGGAAATGCGAAGCCCATGTCGATAGTAATCAGTGAGGGAAGAGAGACTAGACGGTGGGGAAGCGCGGTAGCAGGAAGAGTTGATCGAAAAGAACGGATATATTGCAGCTTATTGACAAATGTGGTCCCTTTTTTTGTGTCAGCTCTTTTAGAAAAGGCTGAAAATGATCATTTTTCTTTTTTGAGTGAGTATGATCCCTATGTACCAACGGAAATACTTCGGAGCATTGGCACAGTGGTTCAGTGTATGGCTTCAGCTCGTCACATTGCTCCAGCCCTTTGTGAAAAACTCATGTCATTTGCCATACTGGCTGCAATTGAACATCCACTTTCAGTTGTTCGAAAGCAAGGATGGATTCTCATTGGGGAAATTATGAGGTGCTGGTGTGGGGCAGGTCCGCTTGTTCTGGAAGATGGCTCTTCATTTACGTCCCGCGGTGTTTTTGGGGGTTCGTTGTCGTACGTCTTTTCTCAAGAGTGGTTGGATGCTCAGCGGGCTTTGGGGACTTTGTTTGTCAAGACAAAGGACGATCCGAGCTGTGCAGAAGTCGCACTGCTTGTTCTCGCCGATATTCAAGACTTGGTAACGGCGAAAAAGGATCTAGAAGCAATGGAAAATCGGGTGGTCAACACGAAAAAGATTACCATGACGGCTGATACAAACAGCGATGTCCGTGTCGCCTGAGGTGTTAGTAACAAGCCTTCTACCTTTTACTTGTGCATGCTCCTTCTTTCTTTGCGCGTGTGTGTGTACGTGTGTGTGTGTGTGTGTGTGTGTGTGTGTGTGTGTGTGTGTGTGTGTGTGTGTGTGTGTGTGTGTGTGTGTGTGTGTGTGTATATATATATACGCTTGTGTCCATATAACGTTGTTGAGATGAATTGGATTCTTTTTCTTCAAGGAAGGACAATAGAGAGGTGAAAAAAGCAGTGCTATATGCGACGTCTCATCTTGTATCGTCGGGAATTGTGTGGGCGTGAAGCATGTGTCTCCTTGCGGCGATTTTTGCGCAGGAGAGGAACACCCAAGAAGGAGGAGGTTGAATCCGTTGATTCGGTGGATGTTCCTTCTCTGCGTGTTGGGGGCATGATGGCGGCACCTGACACTTCTTTAGATGATATCCGCACAGAAATCCTTCGTATGCGTTCAGAGCATGTGAGACGCGAAGAGAAGCTAAATGAGAACGCGGCTTCTTCAGTCAAGGAAGGGTCGACTATGAACGATGCCTGGAACGACGATATCGAGAAGCTCCGTTCCAACGAAATGTATGTTAAGGGGCATGATGTCCTTGAGCGTGTTAAGGCGAAGGATCGTGCAGTTCGAAAGCAACTTTTTCTAGATGCCGAAGAAGTCCTGAGAAAATCGAATAAGGAAGACACGCTTCGGTATCTGCAGTTGGTGTATGGGCGTATTGGATCATACCATCGTGAAGAAGTGATGGAAAGCGTAAAGGCATTGGTACAGTTAGTTGAAGAGGAGACACAAAAAATAAAAGGGAGAATCCAAGAGAATCTTATAGACAGAGACCCCTTGGCGGAATTGGATGCCGCCATCTCCTCCGACGAAGTAAAACAGATGGCGTGGGTAAATGCGTTGACAAATATTTCGGATGAAGATTTAAAAAAGCTGTGGAAATGGGGCATACTTGATTTTGACACGATCGAATCGCTGGCTTGTATGGACATGGATAACGAAACCCGTGTGGTGGATATGAACTTGCAAGAGAACAGTGAAACAGAGAAATTCTTTGTAAGTACCACAGGTCAACGTCAAATAGAAGGCGAAGACGACAGTTTATTGGATCCAACGATCCCTCAACTCTCCATTGCAGAAAACACTGAGGCGCTTCAGAATGTCGGTGAAATACCCGAGTTTACGGCAACACTTTACGAGAGTCTTTTTCTGGGATTTCCCAATATTGACTTAGCACCTGTCATACAAAAAGTTCAAGAAAAACGGTATGAGAGCATCTCAGAAAGCGAG